CGCATCACTTTTGGAACACAGGCGTAAACATATCTTCCCAAATAAAGCTGTATCATCTAGTTATGCTCAAAGATTTTTCAACTTTCTCGGACCTTTCTTGTATAATAAAATCAATAATAAATTATCAGTATATCCTCTAAACAAATACGAGTGCAAAAAGAAAATAACCGACTATCTTCAAAAACTAAATTACGATGATACCGAAGCTCTCCTCTCCATCATCTCATAAAACTGAAGAAAAAAAAAAAAAAGTAATGTACCACATCCACACCCGCACGTACGCACACACACACACACTCACCTCATCCCCACATACACACACACATCCCCACACACCACACCCACCCACACAACCAGACACACACTCTCGTACAAACATACCCACACACACAAATTTTGTTAAATATAATATTTAAATTTCATTCTTATGCCTCTCCGTTATGTACTTGATGTGTTATTCGACACCCGGGGTGGGTCCCTGGAGACCTATTATACAGGTCTGACCTAGTTTAGGCTCCAGTCTCCCACAAATGTGATTTTTCTTTAAGTGCCTTATAGTTAATAGACATAAACTTTGTAACTTTGTGGAGAAATAAATGATTTTGTATTGTATTGTTGTATTGTAGTTCTGTCATCTAAGGGTTTCGCAGTTAAAACCTCACATAGTGACTATTTTCTGTAAGCTACCATGACTGCCAGAAACATCGTGATCATCTTTCTGAGATTTTTCGGCCGCCCGTTTTCAGCTACTACGGCTAAGAAGTTCGCTGCTTCTGCGGGCACACCTAAGACAGAAAACATTATAAATAATAAAGATTTTTTATAAGTCACTGCTAATATAAAATAACTCTAAATTTTAGTCTAAGAATAGTGCCAAGAAATGAACAGAATTCTTGAACAAGAAAATCGAACAAACACAAAGAGACATTCTTTCGATCCAGCTGGATTCGAACTAGTGACCTCGCCAAACCGGTGTTACTGACCTACGGAACGAGTCAGCAGACCTTACAGCAGAATTTCTCTCCCAAGCAGCACACCCATATCTAAATATATACTATAAGATATCTAATAGAATTTAATTCGATTGAATATTTTAAGAGTTCAAATTCCCTCAAGATATCTCGAAAAAAGGTTTCTAGATAATTTAAAGTAAAAGTGGGCACAACTTTATTAGTAGATCACAAGAGTGCTTTGAGAAACTATCTGTTGGTAGTGTTTAAGAGTGATTCTTGTCTTTTTTTTCAAGTAACCCTTTTAGAACGCTACAAGACCATTTGTAGAATGTAGACAGTTTTTATTTAGTCTTGTAGTCAGTTTTACTTTATAGTCTATGATAGATTTTTTTTATACATGACAGGCAAATGACTCCACTCCACCTGATGTTAAGTGGAAATTTCTTAGTAATTCTATTTTAAAACCAAAATACTACAGCGTTACAAACATACGACGCAATTCTCTCAATACTAATAGATTTCAAGTTTAATTGGCTTACAAAATACAAGCTATCAAAATTACAATATGGCGAAATTAGATATAATATTTCTGACTTTTTCGCGCAATGTTTAATTGGTTAGAAAGCGCAAATTGACGTGCAACTTTAAATACATTGTAAAAAGTGATGTAAAACCTGCCATAAAATAAAAAAACATAAAATTTTAAATATTTATGTATAAAATATAAACTTAATAAAAATACAGTTATCGATTTTCGGTTTTAAATATTTATAGAAAGCTTAAATATACAAAATAACCTCACAAAACAAACCATTTCCAAGAAGTTCTAGGCTTCTTCAAGCTAATTTCAACTTAAATTTACTTTTTAAAAAGAAAAGAAATTTTTCTCGGCTACTTCATAGTCATTCTTTAAAAATAAAAATGGCGATAAAAATTTAAATCTTTTTTCAAAACACAGTTGGAGCACTTTATCTGTAGAAAAACTTTAGAATACGAAAAGATTATTTTTACTTACTTTAGTGTAGTTGATCTTGTAGAAGAACTTTCACTCGTATGAAGTTTTTATAATTGTCAACAAAACGCGATGTTTCTGAGCGATTTTTTCTTTTGACAGTATTACAAAACCTTTATAAAGTAATAGTGAGTATTATGCAATAAAAAACTTTTCAAAACACTAGGTAAAAAAGAACAAAAAAAAAAATCCAATTTGTCGCAAAAAAATATTATTCTATATAATTAAATGGAATGTGTTATAATAGTACCTATAAAGTGTACTATAAAGGTGGATAAATTCCCTGTCATATAAATATAAGGAATATTTTAATGACATACCTAACTTATGTTGGAAGAAATAAAATTTTCATTACAAAATTGATGTTATTTCTTCACGCCAACCACATTTTACACAATGATATCACTGTATTCTATTGATAGACGGCACAATACACATACACAATATTGAAGTACAGTACTTTATGCGCTCATTTCAATTGTTTTTATCATTTCACAACACGGAATTACGTTACAACGTTTATTTATTTGTCAATAAACAACGGACATGACCGGCCCGAGCGCGAATTACGACTATTATATCCAGCGTTCCCAATTTGTGGGGAATTCCCCTATTGTGGGGAGTTTCAACTAGATTGGGGATTTTGTGGGGATTGGCGCTATGTGGGAATTGTAACATTTTATCATTTTGTTTAATCTATCAATTGCTGATGCATTGCTAGTTTAATCGTTATTGTTAGAAACACTGTGATGGACTATATCGACGCGTTGTTCAACATCGCACATCCCTCGTATTATTAACAAGCAGCTTAAATAGAATTATTATTAGAGCACTTGGTTCTGAATTGTAAAATTACCAGTCGGTGCGTGTTGAGGTCGCGATTCTTTCTCCCGCTTAGACCGGTCCCCGGTGTGAAGCAAAACGAAATCAGCTATTGATAAACAAAGCTCACTCTTAAATATATACAGCAGAAATAAGCAGTCGAGCTGGAGGCATCAGCAATCCCAATCAGGAGGATAGTTGCAGTGTTTTAGGCTTCATATCGTTAAAATATTCGAAAATGTTATCCATTCTTTTTTTTATTATCTGTCAAAGGAAGATCCCAATATAGATTAGAAGCCCACAGTCTCTGGATTAAACTTTTTTTTTATAATGGTAGGGGTAATGAACCCAGGAGGATTATAAAAAAATTTGATACATAAATAAGCATGTCTCGTTTAATTATTGTCCTGTTTCCAAAGACACCAATGTTTTTATGTTTTTAAACTGTAATTTTGATTTTCTAAATCGATACTATCGAAATGTTGCTGCTGTTTTGGTATTTCTTGCCGAATAGCAGGTACATCGGAGGCCCGTTTTTGGGTTTCAAACCCACCCCTTTTAAAAATTTCAATTAATTGCTCCTTGGCTTCAATTACTTGGCGTAAGTCATTATCCGCGTACAATATGTTAACGACAAACGCGCAGTTTTGCAATAGAAAGGAAGCTAGAGGAAGCTCCTCCTTGAAGATATTTGCAAGCTCATCCAGACACTAGCTAGGAAACTCGAGCTCTTGAGTCCGTATGCAACGGTGTCTAGCCTGATGCATTTTATCTCCAAATTGGGGTTCATTACAGTATATTCTGTAATGAAGTATGTTTTAGGTTAAGTTTTATACATCTGAACATTTTTTTTATGTCAATGGTGAACATGTGTGTTCCAAAGTGAAGTGGTAAGAGGAACAAATCCCTTTGTGAAATATGGCCATTGACGAGAATATCATTCAAAGATATATATTTTTTTCAGTTTTCATTGACTCATCAAAAATTACACGCAATTTAGTAGATTTACTTTTTTCGTTAATAACGGCATGATAAGGAAGAAAATGCAAAGGGTCTTTCATAAAGTCATAATCCTTCATGTTTACATAGTGACCATGTCCAAACTCAACTATTTCGTTAATACATTTTTTGTATTGTTGCAACAAACGTTGATTTTAAGGGATCTATTGAGAGCAAGATTAAAAGAGTCACCAACACGACCAGTGACCTGCTCTAGAGGCACTTTCAGATGTAAGTCCACTTGAAATTGGGCAGCATTTAACTGCACTGAATTTTTAAATATTTGTAGATACAAATCAGTTTCTGGAGACTTTTCACTAAAAAGTTCTGGTGCCTCTTCAGTCTTCCAAAATTGACGTAAGGTCATTGATATCCGAGTTACACGTATTGCAATGCAACGATGACCGTTTTGTTTTGTGTTATAATGTGGCCGAATTGCGTGTTTATAAAGCACGGAGCAGAAGCAGATCTTGAAGCACTATCTTCTTTACTTGGCTGCTGCTCTTTCGGCAGGAGGATTTGGAAAACGACATCACAACTTAACAAAATGTTTTTATCCGACCTTTACTTCAAAAGATATGGCGTAAGTCACAAAGGTTGGCTGACATGACAACGTTGATTAGAAGAAGTCTTTCCTGACTTGCTTCCAAGGCGGAAATGGAATGACGAGCAGGTTCCTTTGCAGGTGGGATTTGGTGTTGGTGATCGACCCTGAATTTCGTAATGACTGGCCGAAAGATGTGATCCAACAAGTATATCCAAGGAAAGATGGTACAGTGAGGGTGGTTGGGTGAAGACCAAAACTGGTCTTTGGCGTAGATCTGCGGCACGTACCGCGCCTATATCCTTAAACTTATATTTTTATATGCACACGTATTATGAACTCTCTATAATGTGTTCAAAAACCGCAAATTACGACGAACATAAAGGTAAACTGTTTTGTTAGAACAAATTTCTTATCAGTGAAAATGTTATTAATTGCTTCTTAATAACATCGAATTCGATGTTATTATTACATTCAAATTTCGAACATCTCTGAAAAACAAAACGATTTGATTTGACCTTAATTCTAATATCAGTTGAGATGAAGTTTTATTCGAAATGAAATGTCATAACCTAACCTAACCTCCGGTTAACAAAACCGCCCTCAAAAGTCATTCTTCCCCTAGTTTGCCACCCTTAGAGGTGGAATATTTTCTTGA